AGTTTTTTTATTAACTGTTCACATAAAAATTTGTACAACAGTCTTGTAATAATGGCATAAGAGAATCCAACATCCTATTGTCTAATAATATCGATATAATAAATTTTATTTAATATGTAATATTTGCATAAACAGAGAAATCATTAACCGATCAACATTGAAGTCTATTAAAATAAATTTCCCACATCTAAATATACAAAGACGTCTCAACAATTGCTAAAAATTCAAATCCAAACCAATGAATGGTGATAGCGACATCAACAGACACTTGTCTTTGCCAATGCCACAATCCCCGCATACCACCACTAATTGTTATAAAACGTTAAATAAATATTTTATACTGTAACTAGATAGTATAATACAAATGTAAAAACAATACCTCATAAAAAGGTATAATATATAGTTTATATTGCCGCTCTTTTCCGTGGAATGACGGTATAAGAGAACACACTATCCGATATCATCCCGTGTGATTCGATACGGAGAAACTAAAATAGGAGATGGGCAGTAATATCATCCCGATAACAACTCAAAATAATAATTTTGATATTAGTTAAATAAGACAAATTCATATCTGAGGCAATCTAAGGTGGAAACCTATGTACAGCTGTAGGATTTAATGGACTGTGATGAATAAAAAATAACATTATTTATTTCTGCGCTATTTTTGATTCTACAAATAATTCTCTTCTCACATATCGCATTCTACAAAACTAGTAACAGAAAATGAAATTCTCTATTCAAATCACGCGCTTCAATTTAGCCGAGCTTTAGCTAACAAACAAAGATTTCAATAATTTACCGAAGTGCTGGTGCCTGCAGTAATCCACAGATAGTAATACAAGAGCGAAGGGGGCGCTAGCGAGCTGGCTGTTTATTTAATAACGTTGTGCTGTCCCGATAAGAGCGACTATTGTATGAAACTAACGAAGACGTAGACGGTGTACGGCGGCAATAATTTCATTTTAAGCTTAATACAATCTGCCACATTGACTTCCATTCAGATTTTCTGATTGATACAATGGTATAAGTGTTTTACTGTATAATATATTGTGTAATGTGTTATTTCTCCTCCTTAAACCACGACAGCGAAAAAGTCCTATAGAAATACCTGCGTAAAATAGCAGCTGAATTCTGCTGTGTTTCGTTGAAAAACATTGTTGTCGCTGAAAACCACTATATTGAAAACAAGAACTTTTAATTGTCATTGAGAATGTTTTGACACAGAAGGCTTAATCGACTGTAACTACCTTATTTTATATGATTTAACTGTTATATAATAAATATAAAAGAAGGTTAAAAAATCATATTTATTAGGACAGTCGACATAAACTCAGGCCTGAAAAAAAACTTTTTTAAGAAATATTGTTTCCATCTGAGCGAAACTCAACTTATACAAATGGATTTGAAACTTTAATTTTTCTACATCCTGTACAACACTGCTTACTTTTTAATCGTAAACAACACACGGAGTAAAATACCAATGTACCTACCCATTCAATAAAACAGAAATGTATTTTAGCAAAGGGACGGATAATATATATAACCATGGTGACAAAAGAGAAATATATACATGCTTTTCACTCAGCTCAAAAGATTACAAATATGGTAGTACTCCCGATACCATCCACACCATCTGGGTGATTGGCGGTCCACCACTGTGCGATTTAGAAGATGTTTTCTTCCTTGCACAACTTCCTTGTGGAATCGATTACCATCAGCGATTTTTCCGGACCGATACGACTTAGGGACCTTCAAGAAAAGAGCATACTCCTTTTTTAAATGCCGGCAACGCATCTGCAATTCCCCTGGTTCCCCTGGTGTTGCAGTGGTTCATGGGCAGCGGTAGTCACTTATCATCAGGTGAGCCGCATGCTCGCTTGCCCCCTCTCCTATAAAAAAATGCTAAAAACTAAGAGAAACTCAGCGTTGGGCAGTAGAAAGTTAAACAGATGTTAAAGAGAATAATATTTTTTTATTTCTTCTGCAAATTTTCTTACTAACTAATTCATAAAATATAATATTTTATATGTAAATCAATTTAACGTTTTTAGTGAGAAATTTGATCAATAATTTTCACGTGCCAACTCTAAAAGCAACAAGCTCTACGTTGTCACCCCAATTCTCCAAATGCGAACTGCTTGGCAAACACAGATATTAGTTTTCTGCAAAAGTACTTTTCTTGAGTGTTTCCAGCTATATTTCATTCGAGTAAATACAAAATTACACAAACGTAATTTACTTGAAGTTCGCTTAATCAAACTTTATATAAATAGTTGAAGAACATTTCAAAGTCCTCGTGATAGAAATATGAACGATTTCGTAACGAAATACTTTCCTCAAATTCTAAACGTCTTAGTGTTCAGTGTAAGGGAAAATGGCCATCTCCAAAATTAATGGATATTTCATTGGGCTGGAAGTTAAATTGTGCGTGAATATGATCGAAAATTCTTTAAGCCGAATCAATCTCACATTGCGCGTGTATCAAAACGTTTTATGAACTTTTACGATGTAACAAAATAAGTATGTTAACAAGCGTGGCAACTCTGGCAAGTATCCTCCTTATAAGGCAATCTATTCGGCGACCTACTTTCAGCTGTGGACTTTAATAGTCTGTAATGATGATGACCATGATTATGTATGTTAACAACATATGTAATATTTTGTAAGTTAATTAACTCAATAGTTAAATTTGTTTCATTAAATTTTTACAAATTATTGTGAAAATAAAGTCTATTGATAATTTGTTTCTATTTCATAAATTTACTGTTGAAAAATTATGAAAGTATCAAAATCTTTAAGTATTGTATTAATTTTGCTATAGTAGAATAAATGATTTTGATTTTCAACCAAACTAACTTGCTTACTTAAATGGTTAGGGTGGAGAACTGATTATAATTATAAAATTATACAATACCTCCTTCCCATTCCTGAAAATTCAGCATGGACGAAAAGGGCGCGCTTCAGTGATAAATACAAAATGACAGGCCGGCATAAATACAAAATTGATTTAATTATAACGAATCGTTAACCTAAGTGTACTATATTTTCTCAAATAATAATTTAAAATTAAAAATTTTGTACAGCCGACTTCAATATAAGTTATTTAAGAATAACTTAAAAACTATTGGTCTGACCTTGATCAAATTCATATGGGACCACACGAGAAGTACCAGCTTTCAAATAAAAAAAGAATCATCGAAATCGGTTCACCCAGAAAAAAGTTCTGAGGTAACACACATAAAAAAAAAACGAAAAAAAAAAACGAAAAAAAAAAAACATACAGTCGAATTGAGTACCGGCTCCTTTTTGGAAGTCGGCAGAAAATGTAGTGAATCTGTATTGGTACTGAAATGATACTGAACTGAGAGAACTGATACTGTGGGTCGAGTTGTAGGTTCGAGTAATACAATCACTGGGCAGGTCGGTTATCCAGATGTTTAAAACTAATTAATATATTATTAACTAGGGATCCGACCCGGCTTCGCACATGTGATTTCTAGATCTCGACAACAGCGCCACCTACCGAACCCAATTGTGGATCGTTTAGATTATCCGGGGATCCATTCAAACATACACAAAAACTTTCATCAAAATCGGCCCAGCCATTTTCGAGGTTTTGCGAGACTAACGGACAGCAATTGATTTTTATATATAGAGATTACTACTGTTTACCATTATTCAACAAATTTGCCTTTTCTAATGTGCTTGCTTTGCCATGATTCCTATACAGACAGATTAGCCATCATACGTCTCCATCCATCTACCGTAGACAGTAGACACTGATCCTAGTTCGGACATCTGACTATATTCAACGTTTTATCCCGCCATATGCCAGATGACTAACATATTCTTTATGTACTAATATTTTTATCATCAGAAACAAGTCAGAATAGTTATAATGATAACAAATCACTATAATTGTAAAGAATTACAATATAAGTAAGGTCAAAACAATTAAAGGTAATGTAGGTTCTTAGTTAATGTGTAATTTTGTTTCACTGATTTGTTAAAAGTTACATTTTGTCCTTTCCATTCACAAAAGTACTTTTCAAAAGAATAGAACCGAAAATCGCTGGAACTTAAATTGCCTCATCTTACTTCCGTCGAAAGAGAATAATGAAAAGAAAAGTTTGCCTTTCATGACATATAGATTACTTTATAGTCTTCTCTTATCCACGGTATTTGTTTTTTGTTCTATCTATTATGATTAAAAAAAAATATATTTGGAAAATTAAGGTTTATTTTGTACTAGCTGATACCCGCGACTTCGTTCGCGTTGCTTGATATATTAACAAAATTTTCGATCTCCTCAGTGGCAAGAAAACATATATCACTGAACATGTAGTGCTTAAAAAAATCTTTGTTTCTTAAAAGTTTATATTAAATGAAGATATTGCAATACTTTCTTTTAAATAAGGGACAAGTGTCTAAGAAATAAAACTTAGAAAACTAAATTAAAATCTATCCAGTAGTTTTTCCGTGATGCGCGCACTCTCATTTTATTTATATAGATAACGCACAAATTAGACTACATACATAGTTACAGCCTATTAAAGTCAAGTGCTGAACATAGCACTCCCCCATAGATTGCCTCATAGGGGGATCTTTGTCATAGTTGCCACGCTTGGCAAGCGGGTTGGCAACCGCAGTTTTTATTTAGTCGTACGAGTATTAGGCAGACGCTGCTGCCCATCTCTTGATTTGTTACCCTCTGTCGCCTCTTACGACTCCCACGGGATGATATGGGGTAATGAATAATCTTACACCGCCACTACACGGTTTACACGATTTACACCGTCACTACACGGCTTCTACTTACACAGTAATATCATATTTTATTAATATTTGTAGGTTAAAATTGTGCTACAAATGGCTGAAAACCAACATCAGTCTTTACATCGAATTACAATGTGTCTTCAAGGCAAGCGTAATTAGACCTTGGTAAAGCTATTTACTTATAATTTGAGATAGTAGTCAAGTTTTCTTCTTTAAGGTTCATGATAGTTAAAAAAATTAATAAAAGAATAATAGAGAGAAGAATGAGAGAAGAGTGTGAGATAACACAAAACCAGTTCGGATTCATGCCCGGTCGAGGTACGACAGATGCCATTTTCGCATTACGCCAATTGTGCGAAAAGTACAAGCGCGTGCATAAAGATCTGCACATGGTTTTTGTCGACCTTGAAAAGGCGTACGATAGGGTTCCCCGTGAGGTCTTGTGGTGGGCGTTAAAGATGAAAGGTATGCCTGGGAAGTATGTGAGGTTGGTCCGTGCTATGTATAGAACATCCCGTACATGTGTACGATCTGCCGCGGGAACTACGGGCAGTATCGATGTGGCGGTAGGGCTGCACCAAGGGTCGGCACTGAGCCCTTACCTCTTCCTACTTATTATGGACGCTTTGACGTCGGACCTGCAGGATGAGGCACCCTGGTGCATGCTCTTTGCCGATGACATCGTGCTTGTCGGGGAAGAAGGCATCGAGGTACAGAGCAGACTGACGGGGTGGCAACGGAGGCTGGAAGGTGTTGGCTTGAAGATCAGCAGATCCAAAACCGAATATCTGTGCTGTGATTTCGGCGGTCTTTCCAGTCCTGTACCCATGTCGTTGGATGGCGCTATACTGCCTATCTGCTCAGATGTCAAGTACTTCGGTTCCCTCATTCAAGGCGACGGCGGAATAGATAGAGCTGTGCAGCATAGGATTAACGCAGGGTGGATGAAATGGCGACAGGTCACAGCCACAACGTGCGATCCCCGAATGCCAATAAGGCTGAAGGGGAAAATTTACAAATCGATCATCCGACCTGTCGTCATGTACGGAAGTGAATGCTGGGCCGTCAAGAAGAAGGATGAAAATAGACTGCATGCGAATGAAATGAGAATGTTACGATGGATGTGTGGTGTGACAAGGATGGATAAGATAAGGAATGAGTATATAAGAGGAAGCTTGAAAGTAGCGCCAGTGGTAGAAAAGGTGAGAGGAAGCAGATTGGCATGGTTTGGGCACGTGATGCGGAGGAATGAAAGTCATGTCACAAAACGAGTGTTGAATATGAATGTGGAGGGACACACGGGCAGAGGAAGGCCGAATAAAAGATGGATCGATTGTGTGAAGAGTGATATGAGAATGAAAGGAGTAAGTATGGAAATGACGGCTGATAGAGAGGAATGGAACAAAAAGATTTACTGCGCCGACCCCAGATAATGGGAAATGGTTTAGAGAATGATGATGATAGTTAAAAAAATTGTGGCAACAGTTTTAAGCAACCGTGATTTTATCTTTAAACGGAAAACGTGTATGATCTTAAATCCGTGCGCTTTGAAAGTTAGTCAAAGAAATGTTTGAGCATTTTACTACGCATAATACAATTTGCCACAATGTCAGCCCATTATTTGAACAAGCATAATTCTACGAGTACTACGCAGATGAAAAAATGAGGGTCGCGTTAATTAGGATGTCAGCTACGCAAATAATCCCAGTGAGACTCATTTAGTATTCAGGCACAAGCCTGCGAGCCAAATATATTTATACATTTTTTCAATTATTTTTGTAAAAAATTCGTCTATTTCATAATCATAGGCCACAGAATATGTCGTCAAATGAGTAATCAGGAATATGGATAATGTAAATGATATGACCTAATCCTCAATAAATCCACTGCTATAATATATTATGAACAATCCAAAAGGAAGGATTTACATAAACATGATATACTGAATTAAACATCTCACATTTATAATAATTATTTGATATTATTGTGATACAAACAAACGTTTAAACGCTACGCGCAATAACTTTTTAATTTACTATTCACTTGAAGCTTCTTATTAAACTTAAGTGTCACAATTTATTAAGTATTCAGGCATGATACGACAAAATTTGCGTAAAAATATCTAACTTGAAATCCAAGCGTCTTGGTTCTCAGCGAAGTAGAAGCGACCAATTTAAAAATTAATGGATATTCCATCGAGTAAAAATAAATTGGGCGTAAACGTGATCGAAAATAGGTTGCCCCTTGAATATTTGTTATGTCAAGTATTTTGGATGTAATAAATGGATATAGTAAAAAGGGTCCACATTAGGTTTTCCTTACACTATTTTCATACAAAGTATTTTGACTAAAGACGTACTCACTTGCTTTAATAACAATTAAAAAACAACTTTGTCATTTTTACTAGTCCGTAACAGTCCACTATTTCACATGGGTTTCATTAAGTAGGATTTTCCACAGTTGGCAAACGGATTGGCGATCGTAGCACGGACGTCTCCCACCTTTAAAGCTGTTAAAAGAAAATATTTTACAAACACCTTTTAAACTTCAGCATTTTTCCAGTAGTTAGTAAGTAAATTCAGGAATATTATTAGTGAAATAAGAGAAATTTTGTTAGTTAAGGGAATAAGAAATTAAATACGGGTTATTAATTTTATTCCAGGGTCTATGGTGGAATTTATACAAAGTACGGGTTTCGACTTCGACTATGATTTCCCATATAAGGCGAAGGTTATGAACTGGTTTGTAAATTAAAAACAATTCTATACGTATATTAAAAAAGTTAATTATGTCGGGATGTGTTGGGAGCTCTACGCTCATAGTTGTTGACGAGTATATTGATTTAGAACAAATTTTCTGACAAGTCCAATTTCGACTGAAAAGTCAATCGGCTGGACCATTAGGGAAATTAAAACATATGCCTCAAAACTTGAAAACAAGACGGTTTTTCATTCCTGTCTACATGAGGAAGCTCAAGGTCGTTCAGCGAGCTACAGAGAGGGAGGGAGTTTGTCTTCGTAATAGACTTCATAACGAGGATGTTCACAGTAGAATTACTGAAATGTTCATAGTCCAACGGATCAGTAAGCGGAAATGTCAATGGGCCAGCCATATAGCTCAAAGAATCGACAACCGATGTGGAAGAAATGTTCACAAGTGGCAGTCTCATACCCGTAAACTAATTGTGGGGTGATCCCTCACTAGATGGAGTAACGACTTGGTATGAGACAAAGGAAATCGATGGATGCATGTGGCTCAGGAACGTGCTTTGTGGCGTTCCTTCAAAAGGCCATGTTCAGCAGTGGCCTTGTGATGGGCTGTGGTAATGATAAGTATGATGATAAGTAAAATAAATTATATGTGAAGTTTCGGGTATTCGCAATTAAATAAAGAGGATTCCAATCTTCTTACGCCGAAACCTGATTTTGAAATGGTAGTAGATTATAAAGCATGTTGACATTTGACAAACGAATTTTCAATTATTGTCATCAAAACATGAAGTAATTTCATTTCACTTGATTTCATTTTATTTAATTTCAGTAATAAAAATATATTGAAATTTATGTATAACTAGCGATCCCCGGGATTGCGGATTGCTCGGGTGATTTCTGCATTTCAACAACAGCTCCAACTACCTGGTCCAAGTGTGAATCTAAGTAATCTAGGAACCAGTTCAAACACATAAAAATCAAATTTCATCAAAATCGGTAGAGCCGTTTTGGAGCTTTTGCGAGACTAACGGACAGCATACGTGGATCGATATGAGATTTTATGCGCGGTAGAGCCATGCTGCAGCTATATTAGTAGTACAGTTGTAGCACGAATGAGTCAGCTCGACCGGGGTAGAACCACGCTCTCACAGAATATCTGTGTAAAATGGCAACTTGACACTGCTGTGTTTCGTATGGTGAGTGTAGAGAACCGGAGACCCATTTTACTGGAAAAGAGGCATTACATCTTAGTCTTATCTTAGGTGACGACGCATCTGCATTTTAATTCTTTATTGAGGATAAATGTAGATGTCTATGGGTCACAGCAACCACTTACCATCAGGTGGGCTGTGTGCTCGTTTGTCACCATATCCTATAAAAAAATCAATTGATTACATATGTTGTTTTAAAATTTGTCGTTGCCTACCTAAGAATAATTACTTTATACTATACATTAGCAAATAATATATTTGCTAATGTATAGTATAAAGTAATTACACAAAATCTCATAGGGAGGATTTTGCCATAGTTGTCACGCATGGAAGGCGGAATGGCAACCGCAGTTTTTTATAATTTTGAAAAATATTCCCGCCATGAGGTTATCTACAGGTTATAGAGGGTAACCTATGTTCATCAGAGGACTTTTGTAGGCTGTAATGGATGGATGGATGAACACAACATCTATAAGTTTTTTGTTTTCTATTGACCTATATTATTAAATAAGGATATCCGCAGTATTCCAAGTATGTAATTCAATTTAGCCTTAATTTAATTTGGTATTTAGTTTAGCATGAATATAACATAACTTTAAGTACCAAACTTTATTGCTAATTACAGATACATTTTGTGCAAGCTGTGTCTACACATAGAATACAATTTTTGAAATCTTTCTTTTATATAATACCTGTCAGCATGTTGAAATTGTGTTCTGTTCTGTAGACCAAATAAATAAATAAAAAAAGTAGTAGCCGTGTAGTGGCGGTGTAAATCGTGTAAACCTTGTAGTGGCGGTGTAAGATTATTCGCTACCCCATATCATCCCGTGGGTAAGAGGTGACAGAGGGTAACAAATCAGGAGATGGGCAGCAGCGTCTTCCTAATAACGACTAAATAAAAACTGCGGTTGCCAGCCCGCTTGCCAAGCGTGGCAACTATGGCAAATATCCCCCCTAGGAGGCAATCTATAGGGGAGAGCTATGTTCAGCACTTGACTTTAATAGGCTATAAACTGATAACTGAGTAAGTAGCCTAATCTGTGCGTTATCTATATAAATAAAATGATAGAGGTTTGCAGTTGTGCGTGCAGCACGGAAAAACTACTGGATAGATTTTAATTAAGTTTAGTAATTTTTATTTCTTGGACACTTGGCCCTTATTTAAAAGAAAATATTGCAATATCTTCATTTAAGCATTTTTTTAAGCACTACGTGTTCAGTGATGTATGTTTTCTAGCCGCGAAGAAGATAGAAAACTTTTTTTACGAAATAAGCCTTAATTCTCCAAATATATTTTTTTAATCATAATAAATAGAACAAAATACAAATACTGTGGATAAGAGAAGACTATAAAGTAATCTATATGTCATGAAAGGCAAACTTTTCTTTTGATTATTCTCTTTCGACGGAAGTAAGATGAGGCAATTTAAGTTCCAGCGATTTTCGGTTCTATTCTTTTCAAAAGTACTTTTGTGAATGGAAAGGATAAAATGTAACTTCTAACAAATCAGTGAAACAAAATTACACATTAACTAAGAACCTACATTACCTTTAATTGTTTTGACCTTACTTATATTGTAATTCTTTACAATTATAGTGATTTTTTATCATTATAACTATTCTGACTTGTTTCTGATGATAAAAATATTAGTACATAAAGAATATGGTAGTCATCTGGCATATGGCGGGATAAAACGTTGAATATAGTCAGATGTCCGAACTAGGATCAGTGTCTACTGTCTACGGTAGATGGATGGAAAAGTATGATGGCTAATCTGTCTGTATAGAAATCATGGCTAAGCAAGCACATTAGAAAAGGCAAATTTGTTGAATAATGGTAAACAGTAGTAATCTCTGTATATAAAAATCAATTGCTGTCTGTTATTCTCGCAAAACCTCGAAAAGGCCCGGTAGGTGGCGCTGTTGTCGAGATCCAGAAATCTCATTAATTAGTTTCAAACATCTGGATGACCGAGCTGTCCAGTGATTGTATTACTTGAAGCTACAACTCGACCCACAATATAGTTAGGTTCACTACATTTTTATTTGAGAAAATATAGTATATTTAGGTTAACGATTAGTTCTAATTAAATCAATTTAGTATTTATGCCGGCCTGTCATTTTGTATTTATCGTTGAAGGCGCCCTTTTCTTCCATGCTGAATTTCCAAAAATGGGAAGGAGGTATTGTATAATTTTATAATTATAATCAGTTCTCCACCCTAACCATTTAAGTAAGCAAGTTAGTTTGGTTGAAAATCAAAATTATTTATTCTACTATAGCAAAATTAATACAATACTTAAAGATTTTGATACTTTGATAATTTTTCAACAGTAAAATTATTGAATAGAAACAAATTATCAATAGACTTTATTTTCACAATATTTTGTAAAAATTTAATGAAACAAAGGAGACAGTTTCGTGGGCCCAAAAACGAACCTCCTTTAACTATTGAGTTAATTAACTTACAAAATATTACATATGTTGTTAACATACATAATCATGGTCATCATCATTACAGACTATTAAAGTCCACAGCTGAAAGTAGGTCGCCGAATAGATTGCCTTATAAGGAGGATACTTGCCAGAGTTGCCACGCTTGTTAACATACTTATTTTGTTACATCGTAAATGTCCATAAAACGTTTTGATATCCGCAGTAGAACCAGAGTGACCGACATAGCCCAACGGATTAGTAAGCTGGAGTGGCAATGAGCCGGCCATATCGCTCGAAGAACCGACGACCGATGGGGAAAAAAGGTTCTCAAGGGGCTGCCTCGTACCGGCAGGCGAAGTGTAGGACCTCCCCCCACTAGATGGAGTAGTGACCTGGTAATACTTGCAGGAAGTCTATGGATGCCGGTGGCTCAGGACCGTGCTTTGTGACATTCCTTGGGGGAGGCCTATGTTCGGCAGTGGACTTGTGAAAGGCTTTAATGGTGATGATTAATAGTGTTTTGTTATTACAATCTTAACGTAATGGTTTCCTGAATTCAAATTTCTTGTGTGCCGTTTTATGTTATATTGAATGAGGAAAACTTTTATAGCAGTTTCTTGGCTTCTGCTCAACATTGCTTAATATATAAATAGTAGAAGCTATTGTTACATTATCTGATTGACAATTTTTCAAAGCACTCAACGACTTTAGTTCCTAAGACTATTCTCGTAATTTGTTAAGGAAAGAAACACAAAAAAAAATTAAAAACCTGAAGTTATTGTGAGTAAAATGTATGCCTCTTTTTAACCGGCATCAAAAGGAGGATGTACTCAATTCGACTCTATTTTTTTATGTATGTTACCTCATAACTTTTTCCTAAGTATACCGATTTTGGTAATTCTCTTTTTATTTGAAAGCTGGTACTTCTCATGTGATCCCATATAAATTTTATAAAGGTATGGCTAATAGCTTTTGAGTTATCCTTAATAATTTATATTGAAGACTATTGTAAAAAAATATATTACCACTTGTATGTTGAAAAAATTTGCCGTTTCTCGGTTGTAAAGGGATTGACATATTTTGGTTGTAAGAGAATCTATAATTATTATTCCTTACCTTCAGCATCATCTCCCATTTAATCAATTCACCGCCAGACATTAGTCGTTACCAAAGAAGGTGTATTTGCTGCCGCTTGGCAGGCACGTTGGCGATTACAGCACCAAATGTATTTGATTCTGCTATCCGTTATTTATCGGGTGCATAGTTGAGCAGATTATACTGTAGTCTATCAAAGGCCACAATATCCCAAGGATATTTCCATAAGCCGCCTCATGTTACACCCACGGGAAGACGCAGTAAATTTACACCATGGAACAATATTACATAAGTAACA